GGGACGGGGCTGGGAAGCGGGTGGGAGAGGGCGGCGCGCGGGTCAGCCCATCGGTCGGCGCCGCGGCTGGCACCTACCGAGAGCACAGCCCCTGGGATGGCCGCGAAACCGAGGGGGCACAGTCCAGCCCGCCATGCAGCCTGCCGCCGGGAGGGTCCTCCCCAATTCAGCCCTCTCGGAGACCAGCTTGGAAAAACTTTATTCCCGCCCCGCCAGACGCGCCTAGCACGGTTGCAGTGAGGGACGCAGAGGCCACATGAATGGGAGCCTCGGGTTAAGGTGGGGCGTGGGACGCCCCAGGGGAGATGTGGCCGGGACGCAGGGGCTCGCGGGGACAGCGGAGCGCCCCTTTACCCTAAACTGGCCGAGTTGTGCCCTTGGCGCAACAGGTTCGGCGCGGGGCGGCGCGGCAGCGCCACCCAGCGTCGTGCCCGGAGTCTTGAGCGCTTCTGCCCGTCGAAGCGCCGCGCCATCTAACGTGCGCCCCGGGGTGTGTCCATCCCGCAGCTTCCCGGCGGGATCCGCGCGCCCTGGGCCTGGAAGCCTCCTCCAGGCCGGTCCTCCCACCCCCAGGCCACAGAGCTGGGGCTGGCTCTCCACCGAGGGATTTGAGGCGGAACATTGCCCTCCGCCGGTTCTCTTTTTAAATGCCCAGCCATCTCCAGTTGCCAGTCCCCATATCAACCTTTTTTCCAGTTTATCATACCAACCTTTTAACCTCCCAGGGCCTCTGTATTTTCATGGGTAAAAACTGGCATAAAATCTCTGCCCTGCCTATCCTCCAGGACTGTTTTGTGGGAATAAATGAGGAAATGTATATGGAAATATTGAAAGATGTGCTACACATGTTTATATATTTTGCATAAAAACATATACATTTGGAGTGTGATATACTCTCTCATTTGGAGCGCATGGCGTGTAACACATGTTAAGCGCTTATAGCTCAGCGGGCACTGTGCTCANCTAGCATACATATACATTTGGAGTGTGATATACTCTCTCATTTGGAGCGCATGGCGTGTAACACATGTTAAGCGCTTATAGCTCAGCGGGCACTGTGCTCAACAGGTCACAGCGTTGTTTCATGTCTGCCGTTTTGCTCGCTCTTACCTAGCACAGTCCCTGACAGAGCAGCCACTCATTCAATGTTTTTGTTGTTGCTGTTGACTTGACTTCTCTCAACTTTATGCGGGAGGTGCTGCAATTACCCCCAACTTACAACTGAGGAAACTGAGGTGCAGAGAGGGAAAGCCGAGGCATGGCACCAGGCTGCTGGTGGCACTGGCATTCAGTTTCTGGTATTTATCCACAGTGTTTCTTCGGAACTGATAGAAAGGGGTGATTGATTGTGGGCAGTGGGCTTCACAGAGGAAGGGTGCCTGTGGGATGGGTGCTCCTTGAGGGGACTTGCCAGAGGTGGAGGAATTTTTCAGGTGTTCCCATGAAGAATATAGCTAACGTTTTTGAGATTGCGTGTCTGAAAGACTGTTTTAAACCTTTTGCACAAATTCTATCTTTTAATTCTCTGATAACCTTGAGGTGAGCACTCTTACTATCCCACTCCTTAGGTGAAAAAAAAGGCATAAAGAGGTGAAGTCACTTGCCCAGGGGCTATGCAGCATCGAGCAGTTGGGGTTCAAAGGCAGCCTGAGCGGGAACCTTCCCCTTAGTCACTGCACCTGGCAGCCTCACAGTTCAGAATCTTGGGGGGCAGAGGGGAGATGAAATCTTTAGGGTTAGTTTGGGACCTTAGTCCCTGAAGACTTAAAACTGTCTGAGAATGCCAAGCACCCCTCCTCCAATGGAGGAGGTTATTTAACATGGGGATTATAGAACCTACCTCTGGGAGTATCAGATGCTTTCGAGAATGTAAGCACCTGGCATGCAATAGGTGCTTAATAAATGCTTGTTGAAAGAGTAAATGGATGGTAATGACTCAAGTCATTATTAGGACTGAGGGCTGAGCACTACGCAGGCATTCTTGTTAAATCCTCACCAGAGCCCTACAAGGTGGGCACTATTGTAGTCTCATCCGTTTTACAGGTGAGGAAGCCAAAGCTCTGAGAGGAAGTGAGCAGCCCAAGGTAAACAGAGAAAGTGACTGGAACAGGATGAAAGTGCAGATCTGTTTAGGTCTAAAGGCCCAGCTCTTTGTGGCCGCACCATCTGCCCCAGATGAACGAATAAATGACAAGTTAGTCCTAAGCCACTTATCAGGAGTGTCTGTTGTGACTCTAAGACCAGATTTCAAGGTCTGCAGTCTGGCTTTGAGGTGTAACCTGCACTTAGACCAAGGCTGTGCCTGTTTGGACGAGGCAGCTGGCACCTTCACAGGTCTCAGAGGAGAAGCCCCAACCCAGGAGACTGATGAATGTGCGGAATTGTGCGGGGCCTGTGGTATAATAAAGGGAGCCCAGGGGGCTGTGGGGGTACAGAAGAGGGCACCAAGCCTACTGTATTTAGGGTCAGAGAAGGCTTTCTGGAGGGGATGACATTAAGCTGAGTCCCAAAGAACAAAAGATGGGGAGATCACTCTAGAGTCCAGTGGTGCTTGACTGGGGAGGGGTGGCGGTGTCCATGGATAGGATTCTGGAGAGTCCATGAACTTAGAAAAGAAAAAAGTTACATCTCCATTGTCACTAACCTCTATCTGAAGTTCGGTATTGCCTTTCATTATGAATGCAGGCAGCAACATTAGTACTTACCTGGGACTTTGTCACCAGCAGAAATCATATATATTCATATCACATTACAGTTATTGCAAATAACTTGAAATTTCTTTTACACTCTTCACTGCTTGAAAATTATAATAGTTGTTAGGTCCATCACAAGCTCTTTCTATTTAATGCATTAATGAAGGAGTACACACATTACCATATAAATTAGTTTGAATATTTTGATAACTAGATATCAATATAATTATAATTTCATTATAATCTTATGTATTCTACTCCAAAATTAAAACAAAACAAAACATTATTTTGAGATAGGGTCTATAGGCTTCAACAGATTGGCAAGGGGTCCTTGGCACAGAAAGGATTGAGAACTCCTGAAAGTAGCCTGAGTGTTTGCTTAGAAGTGAGTGTGGGAAATGCAAGTAGTTCCCCTGCTGGAGCCAGGAGAGGGTGGTGCCAGGCGAAGTTTAACAGGTAGGAGGGGCCCGATGTCAGGCAGCCTGGTAGATGACCCCATACAAGAGCAGGAAGGATGGGGCTCAGAAAGAAAGATTTTGGCTGGGGCAGAAGGTCTGTTTGTGGGCATGGAGTAGACCAGCCTGGAGGCACAAGGCCATTGCCACAATCCAGGTAAGAAGTGATGCGCCTCTGAACTAAGGTCATGGCAGCGAATGATGCCCTAACTGAATGAGCAGTGATGAGGTCGTGGAAAGCAGGGGAAGCTAGAGGAAAGCAGTTTGCTGGGAGAGGAGTTGGGGTTTTGTGTTTGGATACATTGAATCTCAGGTATATATTATCTAGGTTTCCTGAAAGAAACCCAATTCAATCCAGCTTGAGCAAAGAACTTCCAGGCTCATTAACTGGGAGTCCTAAAGGCATGGCTGGATTTAGGGATGCTGTTGAGGTCATGAGGACCCATGCTTTCTCTCCCCACATCTCACCTTTTTACAGCTTCTCTCTGAATGTTGGATTTTTTCCCATCTAGAGTAAGTTTGCTTCACATGGCAGAAAAATGGCCACTTGTGTTATATTTTAACAGNCATTGGATTTTTCCCCCATCTAGAGTAAGTTTGCTTCACATGGCAGAAAAATGGCCACTTGTGTNTGTTGGATTTTTTCCCATCTAGAGTAAGTTTGCTTCACATGGCAGAAAAATGGCCACTTGTGTTATATTTTAACAGCTGATGCTCTAAAAGGAAGAGAGACTTTCTATGAAATCTTAAGGAAAAACTCTAATTGGTCCTACTTGGGTCATGTGCCTACCTCTGGCCCAAGCGCTGAGGACTCGGACTCTNCAAAAGAAAGACTTTCTATGAAATCTTAAGGAAAAACTCTAATTGGTCCTACTTGGGTCATGTGCCTACCTCTGGCCCAAGCGCTGAGGACTCGGACTCTGCTGGAGTCTGCCTGGACCAGGTAACCAGGGATGTGAGGGCACAGTGAGCCATGATCTACAAGGACCACGGAGAGAGGGAGAGGGGTCGGTTCTCTGAGAAAGAGACTCTGGGACACAAAAGCAACACAGCCACAATGATATGGGCAGATTAGAGGGTTCTGGGGTTCAGCCCCTCCTGGCACAGAATGACAGAGTTGATGATTAGAAGATGTGGCTTCAGTCACATCCAGGAGGCATTCCTGGGCTCATCTCAGCCTATAGCGGCTGTAAGGAACCTGTCTCTCACCTTCTCCCCTCTAAGCCCCAGCTCTGGATGGCAGACGCAGGTACATGATAACAGTTTTCTCTGCAGG